AAACTCTTCTAGAACATGGCCACACAGCCCAAAAAACCCACAAAAACTATGGATGCCAGTCATGAAAGCCTATGACTTCACTATTTTTCTACCTATGAGAACACCTCTCTAGGACTCTCCAGGTCTCCCAGTGCAAATCTATGGTCAACATCTTCCAGAAGTTGATCATAGAATCATGCAGCAGGACCTACAAATGCTTAGAGAAGCATTTTCTCTAGCAACATCTAGGTTCTCCAGCACAAATGGATGGTCAATTTCTGGCAGAGTTGTGCTGGAGGACCTAGAGATTCTGAAAAAGAACATATTAAGCAAAACTGCAAATAATCAAATCAGTAAAAGTCAAATTCACAAAGGTGGAGGGCTAACTGTATATCAAAATTACAACCTCCCGCCATTACTATAAGTAAAACCAGTTCAGAGCCTGGAAAGAGCAATTACAAGTACAGTTGCCCCTCTGTTTTCACGGATTTGAAGTCCGTGTCCCTTGCCCATTCATGGGCAGGAAATGGAGGGAGATAAAATGAGGTGTACGCCCACGGGTACACACACCCCATTCAAGCCTATGGGGCTTGAATATTTGCAGTTTTTTCTGAAGGCCACAAAGTAGAACTCACTTTACCAACTTCTGTTTTAGAGGGATTCAACAGACACTATTCAAGTTTATTCCACTGTTTTACCAAACCTACTATTCAAGTTTATTCCACTGTTTTACCAAACCTAAGGTTTTTTATTTTCTCCTCAAAAAAAAAAAAATCCTACAGAGAAAAGTGACAGAAATGAGGAGTTGTGTTGTTTTTGTGTCCTTTCAATCATTCCCAACTTATGGTGACCCTGTTATGGGGTTTTCCTGGCAAGATTTGTTCAAAGGGGACTTGCTTTTGCCCTCCTCTGAGGCTGAGAGCGTGTGACTTGTCTGAGATCACTCATGGGTTTCCATGACAGAGCGGTGATTCAGACTTTGGCCTCCAGAGTTGATTGTAACAAATTTCATTTAAAATAGAAGTTTCCAGTAGCAGCAAATGTTAAAGCTTGAAAATGTAGAGTCTTAAAAAATGACCAACCAAGAGACTGGAAATGTTTTAAAAATGATAGCAACATGCCACATATAAACAGAATAAATAACATGAAAATAGAAAATAAGTCAAAGAATAGGTATCCTGTTTATGTCTGTTCCTAGACATTGGCAAGGGGCACACCATCTAAAAACTGTGGTTCTTCCAAAAAAGAGTTGCTACAAGTTCCTTCATCCTGCCCAGCCATTTCTCTCTGCTCAACCAATGTTTCTCAGATGTTCCCAGCCTAGTTTCATGAATAAAAATTCTTCCTATCTGCGATGATAACTAAATGGGACCTCCATATTTAGAAGCAATAGGAATGAAGGAACTGGCTTGAAACTGAACAAGGTCATTGGCAAATCCATCCCAATATTGGCAACTTTGGAAAGAACTTTTATCTCCCAGGTTTCAAGCATGATTCTTTGACAGCTGTCACACACTCTCAGCCTCAGAAGATGGCAATCCCCTCTGTAGAAACTTGCCATAAAAGTAAGAAATATAGGTTCACCTTAGGGTCACCATAAGTTGGAAATAAATAAATAAATAAATTCATGTTACACCATACATTTGCATGGTATTTTACAGAATTCATCAAAACACCATATAACCTGCCAATGGCATACAGTCTAAAATATAAAAATAATATACAGTGAATAAATAATTTATCCCAGTAAAATACAATTATAATAACTATAAAAACTATAAAACAGTTAATACATCATTAATCTATCTTGGGATATTAAACTACAGTCCGAAATGCTTCAGAAAATAAAAAAGTCTTCAGTTCGAATTTAAAACTAGCTAAAGAAGTAATAATCCACAGGTGTTTGGGAATAATAAGGTGTGGCAAGTGCAAAAGGATGAATCCAGTTCGAGAAAGAAGAAATCTTTGGTTGGGTTAAAGATCCATGAGCCCCTAGATTGCAAATTTTAAAGAGGATGGTAAGATGAGAGCAGAACTGACAAATAAGGGGCGGGGGGTGGGGGTAAGTTGTGTAAAGTTTTAAAGGTTAGAGGAAGAAGCATATACTGGATCCTGAAAGGAATGGGCAGCCAGTAAAGAGATGCCAGACGTGGGGTAACATGGTCAAAGCAGCGAGACAAAAGATAATCTTAGCAACAGAGTATTGAATAGAAACCAAGGGACTAAGGTGAAACAAAGGAAGCCCCATCAAAAGAAGGTTGCAGTAGTCAAGGTGGGAGATAACCATGGCATGAACTAAAGTCTTAGCAGAAGAAACTGATAGAAAAGGTCTGATTTTAGCAATTTTTTTAAAAAAAAATCAGCATGACTTAGCTATAGCCTGAATCTGAGGGACCAAATGACAAAAAGGAATCAAAGATAAAGCCAAGGCTACGTGCTTCCTTCACAGGATGGATGGGAATATTATTAACTGGAATTTATCACACAGGGGACAATTGGAAGTATAAATGGTGATTAACCCGTGATAAACCCACAATTGCACTAATGGTTTTCACACAACATTAAGATGAAATGTGATTAAAGTGCCATTAGCCCATGAATAACCAGGCAAAAAACAGCAGAAAATAATTCATGGGATTTTTGCTGTTTATTGCCTGGTTATTTCCTGGTTATTCATGGGGTAATGGCTCTTGTGTTAATCTCATTTTAATTGCATTTTAATGTCTATTGCATAATTTTCTTGGGTTAATCACTGTTTAAACTCCTAATTTCCTCCCATGTGATAAACATATGATAGAAAATGTAAATAATTCTGTCTTAGCCATGTTAAGTTTTAAGCGCCAATGAAGCATCCATGTTGAAATGGCTGAAAGACATGATGTAATGCATTGTTTAATATCTGGAGAGAGTTCTGGAGTGGAAAAGTATAGCTGGGTATCATCTGCATAAATGTGGTATTGAAAGCCATATGAGCTGCTAAGATTACATAAAGATAAGTGTATAAAGAAAATAACAACAAGCCCAGAACGAAGCTTTGTGGAACTCCAACTGACGGAAACAGAAGTAGATACCTGACCTCTGGCTACCACAGCAAATGACCGATTTGAAAGATATGATCTGAACCA